GTTTAAACGCAATCACGATCGCATCGTGACTTCACTACCGACAAGTACTGTACATGTGTGGAAAATCCCTGATAGATCATTTTGGGCATGCGTATGGACATGCATGGGTAGGTTTGAAGCAGCCTGTGATGATACGATCGTAGTTATTTACGAAAGTGATATTTCCCATGCCAAAGATAACGATAAAACGAACACTAAAACGAAATTTATTTGGCGATTTTCATATGTATTATACTACACTATTAAATTAATACAAGTACAGTATGACCATTCTTTCACCAGCAATATATTGATTTAATAGAGAAATTAACAAAATCACAATCTGTAGATGACAATGTAAGGTTGAGCGTTCGGAAAAATGGAAGTTTATACTATAGAGGCCTAGGTAGTAAAAAATTGCAGAGGCTGCCGACCTCGGAGATTTTAAGGTTGGCAAATTTTTGCCGACCTAATTTTTTCCTAATTTCATGGGCTGACCATCACCATTATAACACTTTATTAAATGGCACCGTTTACAGGCAATTTAAGGCACAGGGGCCTGCCTATTCATTACTCACAGGTGCTCAAGTAATGGGAGTATCTAACTAAAACAATTAAACAAGCAAGCAAAACAAACCAGAGAACTAGGAAAAAGCTGCCGACAGCAGATGCGTCTTGAGAGCTTTTTTGAACAAAGCAGTAGACTGACAGGAGTGAATATTTATTGGCAGTTTATTCCAAAGACATGTTAATATTATTAATAAATTATCATTATAACACTTTATTAAATGGTCAATTACAGACTTTATGATCAAATGTACATTTGTAAGTACACTACACTGACAGTGGCTTAAAAGCAAATTATTTTGTGGAGGAAAATAATAGATTAGTAAAAAGAATTACACTATCTTAAAAGTAGAAGTATATAGAACTGGTATAGCACTGAGCAGTATATGGAGCTATAGTACATAATCTTTGTAAACTCTTACTTGCAAGCCAGTCTGTAGCCACTAATAATAGTTGTGGGATGAATCTTCTGTTTCACTAACTCATCTGCATGTTTTAGAAGCTCGGCAGCAATTATTACCTACAACAGCAAACAAAATGATAAAAAAAAATGAACATAAATGAGAACATAGGAACTTCATGGTTTTTTAAGCGGCCCTCCCCCCACCCCCACTAAATTTGCCTATGGTAAAGAGAACATACTTGTAAATTAATTTAGTTCTAATCACATACACTATTTCTGCTAGGGTTTGTGTCTATCTTGCATATTGGTTTGCGAGTGTGGAATTAGGTACTTTTCATTAGCGATGTTAACGGACGACATCATAATTTATTCATCTTGCGTTGCAGAGTATGTTAATTTCAGGATTTTGCGTGCTCAATGTATGTTTTGGTTTGCGCATGCATTTTTCAATTTGTTTACTAAAGGGGCAGAGCTATCGCGTTGCATGATGGGTACTAACGTTAAAGTTAAGGTTAATGTCGTGCGGCGAAAACTACCTATTATCATACTTACTACTGATGTAGTGCCATCCCCTACTTCTTGATCTTGGAGATCTGCCAATTCCACCAAGACCTTTGCTGCTGGGTGCTCTACCTCCAACAGTTTGAGAATGGTGGCTCCATCATTAGTAACTGTGACATCCTACAACAATGAAATCAAAATTCATTATAATTCAATAATGGCAGAGGCTAGGAATACGGTACAATACGCTGTTGCCACCAGTCATTATAAATCGTTAATGAGATAGCGTACGGTACCGTACCTCCAGATACATCATTCAATAACATGAATTCTCATCGGAGACTTCTTAGTACAATACATGGGTGGATGAATTTCGAGAGGATCTTCTGGGAGGACTTGAATCTTGAATAATTATAAAATAAATTAGTAATTTAAGCACACTTACACCAACATCATCAACCAACATTTTGTCTAAACCAACTGGACCAAGTGAACTTTTCACGATGTTAGCAACTGCAGCTGCTGCCATGACTACAAACAAAAAGAATATAAAGAAACTGTTAACATTATGAAATATTTAAGAAAAATATAAAGTTTTAGCTATGGTACATTGCCCTTAGTTTTTTGCAAAACAAATTTAGTGTGGTCTTAGGGTTATTAGTTGGTAACTTTGAAAAAGTAAAGTGGTCTTGAATTAAATGGCTCTTGAGTTTGAAACAACTCAAAATGAGAAAAAAAACTACAGACAACACTTTCACCAATCCAGGTGGCTTTACCCCTGAATCGATTTGCGACCAAGGTCATTTTGCCGAGCCCGTACCCATCATTGGCTGGCCCGTACCTAAATTTGGCTAGCCTGTACCCAAATTTTGTGCAAGATTTACTTTTGTATTTCAACCTTTATGCAAAATGTTTTACATTTTTTGATAATTGTCATATTGAGCTATATTACTAAAAATATATTTATTATTTAATCAGTGGTACATAAATGGTAAATACAGTTGAACTCGCCTAAGTCAAATCCAAAATGCCATTGAATAATTGTTCAAATTGTTTGATAAAACTTGACTTACAGACTGCTAATTAATGGAAAACATAACAATTTGGCATGTAAAATAAGTTTGACTTAGAAATTATTTGAGTTAGGCAAAGGCGACTTAGGCAAGTTTAACTGTAGATTTAGAAATTCTTGATTGTCGGCAGGACTTTGAAACTGATAACCTATTTAGAAGGACAGACTCAGAGCCACACATTCTGTTTTTTTGTTTTTTTTATCAAAATGACAATTTAAAAATGTGTTTGTATGAATAAAAACGCTAAATAACAAACAAAAAAATGATGCATTTTTTGGGTTCACTGAGCTATTTCACAGACTAGCTACAAAGTTAATTTTCGTACTGTCTTGGAAGTTTTGTTGGCATATGTAGTATATATTAGTTTTCGTTTTGTTATATTTTTTGTTTGTTAGGCATGTTAAAGCCAGGCTGGGGGGAAAATACCCAAATACTGAACAACCATTTCTAAAAAGTATATTCATTTTGTTAGGTATGAAGATAAGAAGTAATAATACAAATTACCATTCTTGTTAAAGCCAGGCTCAGGAGGGAAAACAAATCGGGGTAACCCTATTTCTTGAATTTTAAATATTAAATAATCGGATTGTAATAGGCATAAGTAGTAGGGAATGCTAATCAAGTCAAACTAAGGATCTATATAAATAAAATATCATCTATTTTTCAGCATTTGACCTCCTTCTGTATTTGCATTGCATAATGCACACACCCACATTCCTGAGGGTGGTGTAGAAAAGAATGTGTCTGCTTCAGGGAACCTACTTGTGGGAACATTTCTTTCCAAATTTTTAAAAATTTAGTTTCCAGGCAACCAGTACTCAGGTCTTGGTATATAGTTAATAGACCTCGAAAATACTGAATTTTTTAGGCTTTATTTAATAAATATAAAAAGAAATTATTTTTTTTTATTTATTTTTTTTAAATTATTTATTTAGGCACACAATACATGTGCCAAGGATTGTCAATAGCGACTATATCACTGTCCTACTGTGGTGCATGCAATGTCTTATACTTTCTTGTTTGTTTGCAAGCAACTTCTTATACTTTCTTCTTTGTTTGAAGCCTGAAATGGCTATTAACAATCATGTAACATGTATATCATAAATTATATTAAACTATATTTTACTATATTCATTTGCATTACTAAAATAAATACACGTAAAAACATTTGAATAAGAGTTCGCCAAAATTTATGGTGTTACATCATAATATGAAACGTTACATAATAGTGTACATGACAAGATAGAAAAATAAATTACTATCAAATAATATTAAATAATATCATTAAATTTATTAATAAAAAACTCTGGAAGAAAAAAAAATATGGCAATAGGTCTATACATCTTGGACTATAAAATAAATAAGTGTGAAAACATTTGGGTACAAGTTAGCCACTGGTGGATACAAAGTTCACTACAATTTGGGTCCGGGTTCGCCAAAGTGGGTACAACTTGGCATGGGTAAAGAGTTAGAACCCAGCCCAGCCTCAGCCTTGCCTACCAAACACTGATGATAAATTAATATCTAAATGCCTGTATATCTTATGAAACTTTCTCTGATGGGTTATGTACTATACAAACAAGAAAGTATAAGAAGTTGCATGCACCACATACATGTAAAATATCGAAGAAATGTAGGCCTAGTTTATAAGCTAGAAAATGTAACCGATTTCTAGAACATTCTTCTCAGATCCATGTGTTTAGGCGTAGTCTAGCCTACTAATACTATAGGCTAGGCCTGGTCAACACTTCCTAAACCTGCTCATTAAAAGCTAAAATGCTGGATTATGGTTAAAAAGTAGCAATGAAAAAATAGCTAAGATATTACAACTAACCATTCTGAGTGCGTACAGTAGCACCAGTCGTTCTTTCTCCCCCTACAACAAGAGGTTTAGTAGTCGACATCTTGAAATATTCAGAAAAATACCGTCGGTCGCTCGAGCAGCATGGACAAATCTCGCTCACTCTTCAGTTCACGGGCTCATAAAATCCAGTCGCATATTTGTTACTAACAGTGTGTTTTTGTGATTTTAACTTTACGTTATTATGAAATGCTGAAGTATAATTATAAAAAAAATATATAATTTCAATTCATAGGGGTTGTCTGACTATAATAAATCTTTAAATTTAGTAAAATTTATATTAAGAAAATGAAATGTTTCTGTAAGAAAGTCTAGTCTAAACTTTTCAGATATAATTAAGATTGAGGGCAGCAACTATAGACAAAAAAAATTCTAGGGAAGCCAAGCGTAAAAGAGGTGTACGTGATGTTGCCGCAGGTTGCTGGTTTCTATTGTCTTTCAAGAAATTTCAAGCTGTTTTCCAAAATTCCATTCTTTGCTGGTAAATGTAAATGGCACAAAGAGAATGGTATCGACATTAGGTAATGACTGGCAAGCTTGTATTATGATAGGGAATTGACACCAAGAAATAACTAATCTGACACAGGCACCTTTGTTTTGGTGGGCAGAGCCTCCTCCCATGTGTAGTCACCAGATGTCTGACACTCAAAAAGAGGTCTGAGGCCATCCCACGTCATAAAGAGGGTATCTTCAAACAAGAAAACCTGGCAAATGTTGAGGCCCTACACACGAACCAGACAGAAGATTTCGGTCTCTACACCAGTGCGTGCCACGTATGGTTTTTGCTCTACAGACTAACAACAAGGGATTGGGTCAAAGCGACCACAGCTCTAAGCGGCTGCACTCAAAATGTATGGAACGCCAGTAGTGCTATACCGATTGATTGGGATATGGTATACTTTAGGCCTGGCGGTCAATTTCATATCGTATGCCCACTCGTCAATATATTTGCCTTCTTCATAGAGCATTTGCTCTATGCTTTTTTTAAACTGTTGTAATATAATAAAGGAAGAAAAATAATTTAAAATTCAATATTTATTTAATTCTGTTTTATTTGATCAAAATTTTTGAAATGAAGAGAGATCACTGATAAATTTCAATTAGAATGCCCTTTAATTGTGAAATGGTAAATTCTAAATATACCAAAAAAAAAACATGCTGTTACTATCCCATATACCAGCAAACCCTCCGGGCATATAGGCGGGTTGGTGAACCAGGTTTTGCCAGAATCTTATCTCAATAATCCAATTAAACATCAAAGAAGAATACTCTACTATAATTTATATAGGAACTACACTTTTCAGTCAGTGGCACACTGAGAAAGTGCATCCAAAACAATATGTACAGTAAAGTTCACAAAAAAGACTTTTGCTAAGAAAAAGACAATTCAAATTTTCAAGAGACATAAGGAAAAGTAAAAAAGAAACTGTTCAGTCTTAAGCAATCTTAAACTAAAAAACTTAAGGCAAAATAAAGTGATGCAAACAAACACATGAACAATTATACAAACACCATACAAACGTACATGAAACACACATACATAAGTATTCCGAGTCATTATCACAGCAAGCATTGCTGTTTCTCAATAAATTACCAGTATAGTATTTAAAAACCAGGCTGGAAAACTTTAAAAAACCTGTTGTTCAAAAATATTAGGCATTTTTAAAACCTTGGCTATAATTTCATATACAAATCATAATAGATATGCTTTTGAATTTTAAAAAACAATGACATGTTAGAAGTTACAACATGGTTTTTGATTTAATTGTGTTAGTCTTATGAACCATGAACTATTCACAACTAATGAGCTTCACTGTTAATCGTGTTACAAAATTCCCTGAAGCAGTAATTAATAGAGATAAGAAGAGATCGGCAAAACCTGGTTAAATAACTGAAAATTTGGTAAATAGTGAAGTTTCCTCGTGAAATGTTTTGTACACAAAACTGTAACGTTATTTTAACATAAAATTGTTGGCACTACATTATTTCCCGAAATGGATCTTGCACAGTTGGCAGAACAAGGCCAGTGGAAGTTGGGTCAAGATCCCATCCAATGGAGCTACCCCGCCATGTAGATTTGTAACTACACATTGTTATGCATGTATCCGACAGAGGCAGCCATCCCTGAAGACACATTGTAGTCCTGACAGGGTCTTCACCTTAGATGGGCATCCTATCAGAGTTAATCACTTTTGCCATCACTGGTCTTGGGTTAGTGAATCGGTAGAATGTCACTGATTCTAAATTTGGAAGCTACTGTGTGCAAAATGATTTATTTATTATTCAATCATACTCTAAATTTATTCCATTCCAGTGGAAACAGAAAAACGAGGTAAAGTGTTTCTAATTGCTATCAACCGACCTGCTAATCGTAATGCAGTCGACCACGAAACTGGAGAACAACTTTGCAATGCTTTTTGGGGATTTTGAATCCGACGATGAGGCATCTGTTGCAGTGTTTTATGGCAAACGTGAGGAATGAGTTGATTGAAGGTACTGTATCTGGTAAACAATATGATTTTAACTACAATATGATTTTATCGGTTTGTTTTTCTTGGTCACTAACTAAATCATGAATTTTCCACTTTTTTTAGATGGCAACTTCTGTGCTGGTTATGATCTCAAAGAACTAGCATCAATGGATCCAAGTACCCTCAAACATTCATCTGTCAATTACGCACCAATGGTAGTTTATATTTATAACAATGATAGCTTTGTCAACACTAGGCGAGGCTTTTTTATTCCTTGTGTCGTATACTTATTTTTTTAAAGATCATCGGAGGAGGGTGGAATAAAAATAAAAATAAAATTTTGTTTTCTTATTTAGCAAATAGTTTTGCCAAAAGGAGGAGAAAATAAAAATTAAATTTTATTGGTGAATGTAAAATAGGATAGTTAAATGCTTCAAAGTTATGTAATTAGGAAAGAATATACATATCTTATCTTTGGAGATTTCAAGGCAGCGGAGGGCTTAATAAAAATAAAGAAAAACTTTTATTTTTTTCTAAAATTTCCATTTTTTCGTGGCAGCTGGTGCGCTAATTGGCCAAAAAAAAAAAATTGATTGTTATTCGAAATCGTCAATGTTTGCATTAGGCGGGTTTGCTAAACAAGGTATAAAAAAGTCTCGCCTTACCATCAATGGTTCTATCTCAAGTCTGGTTTTTATTTTTATGGAATTGCTGATAGTTGATACACTACAGTAGCTTTCATTTGTAAAATTGTGTGGCGAGGGCGTTGGACTTTCAGTCGGAATGCCTTGGCAATTCTTTTGCAATTCACTGATTGAATCTGGTACATGATTGGGACGGGGACGCCTACAAAGTGCAACGATTGTGTTAAAAACGCTGTAGTAACCAAGTAGCGAATATATGGAAACCATTTTTATTACCATCATCATCATAATCATCATTTTAAACATCATGATTGATGGTAGATGATATTTTTCTCAAACATTCATGACATGCAGTCTCAAAAATTGTGATGCTTATTGCTCTAAATGTTAACCTAAAAAAACAATGGTTAAATATGAACTAGAATTTTTGTGTTGTTAGTCAAACCTTTGTAAATGTTATGTTGGTATTTAGCTTTAGTCGATCATGCTCTAGGCTACATGAAAAAATAATATTTGTAATTTGACTGATATACAGTAATAATCAGGGTAACTTCTTATTCCCAATGCGTTCTAGTAAGGATGTGTTAACCTACTTCTGCAATTAGCGTACCTGCAAAGCCTTATTATTTGAAATATGCATTTGAATAATGACATCACTGTATGTTTAGCACTCATGTACTGAATAACCTGAAATGTCCATATCGTAATTTGTTGTTGCCATGTTTTATTTGCCTATCCTCTAATTTAAGCACATCAAACCTCATAATATTAGTTGACTTACAATGCCTGCCATTTTTCAGTGTACTTTATTATTATTTATATATTTTTTGTCTATTTGTTTTTTTTTAATTTAAATTATCACTCTGTAAGTAACCCAAGGTAAACTGGTACTTTCCTTCCAGAATAGAAGGATCTTGGCGCCACAGTCCCTTATCTTTCAGATAGTTCATACAATGCTTATTTCACCTCACCATCTACCAAGATCAACTTTATTTGCATTATCGAAATACATCATTATCATAATGGTCAAAATCATATAAATTTTTTCAGATGTATGAAGTTTATTTGATTATTTACAATATTTAAAAAATTATCAATTTTTATTTAACAATTAGCTCTCTCTCAGATTAGCTTCCAGAAGAGCTGGGTAAAAGGGTGGTTATGACCCTTTTTCCACCCTTTTTTAAATATTGAAAAATCTGTATCTCATTAAACGGTTTTCATCAAACACCCTTTTTGTTTTTAGAAAAACCATATGTACAACATAACAAAAACTGTTTTCCCTCCTGAACTTGGCTTTAAAATTGATATTACTTATGATGTCAAATTGTAAGATGGCCACTTAAAAAAAATTAAAATTAGTTATGTCAATTTCTTAGATAGCTCCTTTAAAATATTTTTTTAAAAATTATTTCAATTTGTGTGATGGCCACTTTCACAATGAAAATAATCAATAATCCATGTTCTAACAGTTCAGATTACAGTATACATTTCACTTTTTCGTGTACCATATATATTCGCGTATAAGACGAGGCTTAAAATAGCAAATTACGATTAAAAGACAGGGGCTCGTCTTATACGCGCATACAAATTTCAGATTTTGAAAATCATGTCCGTCTTGTGCAGATCGTCCATAACACTACTACAAAGAAACTATTTTAAACACAGGGAAATAAGATTTAAAATTTCATAATATGGCATTATTTTACTACTATATGGTAGTAGTTATAATACTCAGTCAAATCCTGCTCTCTTCATTTATTCATCTTTAAGATATTTTAAGTATTCTCACAAAAGTTATGAGGTGTTTTTGTTGTACACCAAAATTAAAGATATAGGTACACACATTAAAGATATAGCTTAAAGAATAATAAAGCAGTTGAGATTATAGATAAGTAGATGGCTGATGGTAAAGACCTAAATCAATTATTAAATCTATAATTAGTTCTTATTCTGGAGTGACAAAAGCCACCTGATCCATTTAGAAAGTATTTAATGAAGTATATTTATCGTTCAAGATAATCTATTATTTATTATGTAAAGCATTATCGTTGTACAAGTTGTCAAGATTACAGGGGTGGCGCCAGTGGGGGCTGAGAAACAAATAATTTCATGTAATATCTACAGTTTATGTGAATCTAAATTTGATTAAATATGCCTTTCAAACACCTAACAAACACTATCAAAGTAGATTTCGTTAGTTCGAGAAATCACAGCAGCGCGTCAAAACAAGCGCGTGTTGGTTGTAAGGCACTTTCGTATTCTTTATCACACAAAAAGTCTGTAACAACAACTGCACATATTTTGACGCACTTTTGTGATTTCATGAACGAACACAATCTAATTTGATTGTGTTAGTTCGTGATGTGAACGACGAATTGTTAAGCGCTCTCCAGACTCATATTTTATTTGACAAAAACATGTGTTATGCATAAAAATGATTATGATGACATCAGATACTGACCATATATAGGCACATCATGACTAAATATGGGCATATAACAGCTTTTTGACAAAGAAATTTGAGTCTGGAGAGAGCTTTAGACCTTCGTGTGAATTCACCCTGGATAGCCCTTTCAATGGTTCTTGCCCACATTAGTCCAGAACCCCATATGTCTGCGACATCGGACTCCCTGATGGGCAAATCAGTTGGCACGTCTCCTGGAAGATTATACATTAGTTCCTATACTACGTATATCCCATGTTATTCTGGATTTGCCCTTCTGTGGACTTCACATGTTGTATAACCTTTATTTCTTAGGGTCCATCAAAGACTGTCTTCAGTAAACCAGTTATAGCTGCCATCAGTGGATATGCAGTCGCTGGTGGTCTGGAGTTGGCATTGATGTGTGACATGAGGGTCGCAGAGGAGGATGCCATCATGGGAGTCTTCTGCCGGAGGTTTGGTGAGAATCGGTGTAAAATTGTCAGTGTATATTTTGGATAGGCTGTAGGGAACTGGTGAGGTCGATCAAGTCTCCAATATAATTTTGATGCAGTAATCTGCATTTTGTTTTCCATAATTTGCATTGTAGCTTGCATTGGTTGTTGGTGAGCCCAACCATCAGAAGAGCCCAGAAGAAGTTGTTATTATTGTTTATATCTGTTTTATTTATTACTATGTATTTTTTTTAAATGGTACACTATGCCACAAGACTTGGCACTCTTAGTTCTTCAGTGCCATCAACATCAATGGCGTATCTAAATGGTGGGGGGGGGGGGGGGCTGAAAGGGGGGGGGGGGTGGCTGAAAGGAGTACGGAGGTGAAGTGGAGGGATGATGATTATGTGAGGGGGCACTAGCTTGCAAAAGATCCCTAGATATGCCACTGGAAAACATACAATTAAACAAGAACAATACAAATTAAACATAATATACTGTGCAGTTATGGATGTCCTATTTAATCATAATTGTTACTCTTTCTTCTATAGGGGTTCCTTTAATAGATGGTGGCACTGTTCGGCTTCCTTATCTAGTAGGCCTATCTAGGGCATTAGATCTGATTTTGACTGGCAGGCCAGTGCTGGCAGATGAAGCTCTCAGTATGGGTCTTGTTAATCGAGTTGTACCAGTTGGCGATGGTAGGGTAAAGGAAATATTCTCTTTCATTGTTAAATTAATTGCTTTTTAAATACATAAATATGTCTGTCTGGATAACCTCAACTGTGTTGAGAGTAATTTTTGTATTTTGTTTTGTTGTTCATTGATTTCTATAACTTAAATAAATATCAAAGAAAAAGAGAGGAAAATACAAGAATACATGTCTCCCTCTAATTAACGACCTCCCACTTTTCTGTGGTCCCATATTAACCAATGTCTTTTTATGTATCAATGTATCATTTTAATTAGAGACTAAAGCTGCTAAATACCATGGAAACCAAAGTAAGTGGTCTTTAATTGGAGAGACCTGTGTTCAGATTAATTATTAAAATTAGATAAACATTTAATGAAAGTGATTGCACAAACTGGCACTGGCAAAGAGATTCCTTTTCTTGAGTGGTCTTACTACATTAGATTAACAAATCATGTTCAGTACTTGGAAAATGTTGGTTCATGGCTAAATATAGCATGAATGAATGAATGCATAAACAGCAATATTGGATGGAAAAAATACAGTTATAACTACATTAGAATAACAAATCATGCTCAATACTTGGAAAGATTTTCTGTTTGATTTAAGTGATTACATTATATCAACAGGTGTGAAATCGGCTGTGGAACTGGCCAATCAGATTGCTTCGTTTCCTAGAGAGTGTATGCTGGCTGATCGTAAGTCCAGCATGTATGCAGCATATGATGCTAAATCATGGCAGGATGCTATGCGGTTTGAACATGAAAATGGTAATGTGGAAGCTTTTAGCTTTGATGAACAAGTGGTGCATATACTGTATTATAATGAGGCGATAATGATGACGATGATGATGCAGAGGATGAAAACTGTTGCGGTAATTGTGGTAGTGGTTATTAATTTTTGTTGGTATAATATATAATAAATTATATATATATAATATATATATATTATATATATTATATTATAGTATAATATATAATAAATCGTTATTATTATTATTATCGCTATTTTAATATTTTTATGAGTAAAGTTGAATTGCATGGTGGTTACAATGCTTGCCTTCCAATTTCAGGGTCCTAGGTTCTATTCCTGTCGCTGGACCAGGATTTTTTCTCACAACCACAAAACAACTCTACTCCCTTAAGCCTTATCATGAGACTTATAGAAAAGTGATTAAGTTTGCTGTGTGGCATATCATTTGCCTTGGTAAATAAATAAATATGATAATGATGGTGCTGTTGATTATATAATGATGATCAATATCATCACCACCAGAGTCCTCATTTTAATCGATACCATTAACAACATTCATCATTATAATTTCATTACCACCATCATTTTCATCATTATATTATACCAATAACTATTAAAAATGTTCTTACATTTAACATTATTTATTATTATATTTTTATTTTTTTTTAGTTAACTCTACATAAACATACACATTGCTTTCTGAAATTTACCTCTCTTATTCCTTCAAATATTATTTGTAAGATTATTGTCAAGAAATAATAGAGATGGAGGGATAGGTAGATTGTCAAATACAGTGTGTATGGATACAGAATGATAGACTGATGGATGAGTGGACGGTGTAGCTGGATGGACGGATGGATGGACAGAGGGATGTATAGACGCACAGACGGAAGTATGAATGACTGATGGATGGACAGCCTAACAGACGGATGGTGGATGGATGGACAGATAATGGATGAGTAGACTCAATAGGGTGGAATGGGTGATGGAGGGATATATGGAATGATGGATAAATTTATTAATTAATTGATGGTCCGATGGATGTGTATGTATGTACAGTATCAGTGTTCTCCCCAGTTGAAAAATTTTTACAGGTAAATTTGTTCATATAAAGCCAGCTAAGCACGCGCAACGTGAGGTAGTACTTTTTTTTTTAAGTGGAGTTCAATGGCTCCAAAAAACAATAATACATATAATCATAGCCTAGGCCTGAACTCCAACAGTGGAATTATGTTCATTATTGAAAGAAGGTCTGTCTAGGCTACCTAGGCCAAATAAGTACTTTTTTTAATTCTACCAACACACAATTTTTACTGCCGTTACTGTCAGTTATTTTTACTGGTAAAATTCATGGCTGAAACAGCTTCGGGAGAACACTTACAGTGAGTATGGAGGGATGGGTAGACGCAAGGATGAATAAATGGGTACTATAGATTTGTTGACATGTAGACAGCACCTCTATGGAATAAGTTACCAACAGAATTTATTATTGGTTTTTGGATTGTTTACAAGAGAATTTGATTGGCTTTTTGTTAAGGTAATACAACATGTTGTCAGGCCTTGCCTTTGTTGTATTTCCTCCATCTTAATTTTTTGTTGTTTTTATTCATGATGGAAAATAAAGATTGATTGATTGATTGCTTGATGATTGAATTTTATTATTATTAATAGTATTATTTTATTGTTAATTATTAAAGTTTTGTTCTCAGGATGATGGTTGGTATTTTGATTGTTTACATGTGGCTTATTATATAAGATTTTCTGTTATTTCAGGTAAAGATGTTATTTCAAGGGAATCAGTTGATGGTGCTAGAACGTTTGCAAAAGGTTCTGGGCGAAAAGGATCCTTCTCAGATTGGAAATCAAAGCTTTGACATTCAGGTAATATCATCTTTGAATATGCGAGAACTTGTTTATAATTTGATTAGTGAACCCTCCAGGGTCGATAATGATGATTTCGAATAAAAATAAAATTTTTTTTTTGCTAATTAATTCACCCAATTCTCCACAAAAAATGGAAATTTTAGAAAAAATTAGGATTTTTCTTTATTTTTATTACGACCGGTGCTGGCTTGCAATATCCAAAAATAAGATATGTATATATTTATGTATACAGTAAATATTTCTTACTAATTTTATTTTTTGTCAATTAGCGCACCCATCGCCACGAAAACATGAAAATTTCAGAAAAAAATGAAAGGTTTTCTTTATTTTTGTTACAAACACCGCTGGCTTGAAATCTCCAAAAAATGGTTATGTACATGTTTATATTTCTTCCTAATTATATAAATTTGAAGCATTTAACCATCCTATTTTACATTTACCAATAAAATTTTATTGTTATTTTCTCCTCCATCTGGATGTTTTTGGCAAAACTATTTGCTAAATCAAAAAACAAAATTTTATTTTTAGTTTTTTTCCCACCTTTTGACGAACTTTAAAAATAGTATGTTCACTAAACAAGTATAAAAAAAGTCTCGCCTAACAAGATATAAAATGTAATTTTAAGTTTTGCAAGGCGAAGTAATAATAGTAAGTAGGGTAGTGGTACACCCTGTAGATAGTTCTGAAAAGAACTGTTGCATTGTCAAGACATTTTGATTATACTGCTCTAATCGTCTTAATGAGAATTCATGAAAAGATTAGAACAATCCATTCTCAACAACGCAACAGCTCCTTTCAGAATTAACTTCATGGTGTACTGCAAACCTATTTATTATCACAAGATTATATTTCTGAATATTTCAAAGTTTTGAGCATGATGCTTTAGTGTGACATACATAATGCATACAGTACTACTTTCACAACTCTCTTCAAAAGGCAATGAAAAGCTAAGATGATGATTGAGATTACTCTGCAAGCCAAACCAATCTTCAAAACAATGTACCCGTTGGCCATTATTATCTGAGGTTAAAATAGGAAGATATTTGTCTTCCTTTGTCTTAATTCCATGATTTTGCTTAAGTAAGATTTATCATACCCGAACAAAATATTTGCTAAAATTTTCATCATAAATTTAAGTGCTTAATATGAGAATTTTAAATTGACTGTTTTCACAGTGGAGATATTGGATTAAATTATAAGCACACCAGGCTTCATCACAGTAGGCTTGAGATTTAGACAAAGTAAATGCTTGACTGGGTGAATAGCCCAGTGGAATATGGGTATGATGCGTCTCACATACACATAGAGCTAAGACTTTCTTCTTGGACTTGCACAGTGTATAGGTCCTAACCTTACTGTGTTCCATTCTATATCGTCACCTCATGCTATCATTCTAATAATATCTTGTTTCCTACTGTTCATCTATGATCATCTCATAATGCATCCTTCTTGGTAAAAAGGGAGGCACTTGCCCTTCTCTGGGTTTATAGCCTCTCTACCCAATCAACTTGTTAACTAGTTTCAACAGTAAAATACAGTATACAAAATCTTAATAAATATTTTAAAAACCATAAAATATTGAAATAACATATAAGCATCTAAAATTATATACTGTAATTACGATCTTGATTGTCGTTTCTTTAATTTTTGTAAAACAATTGAAACTACAGCATTGTGATGTTGTGATATTAATCAAGCAGCAATTTATTTATTTATCTTCTTTGGATTTATTTTATATTTATTTCTTTATTCCCGGTTTTCATGCATTAATTTATTCTTTATTTATTCATTTGTTATTCCTTTTAATCATCTACTGCAGATTTGGTTACCCGATTTTAAGGAGAGCATGCTTTTAAGGCATTTGTATTTTTCATTTGCCTATTTTGCTTAACCCTTTTACATTTTTAATGACACATGCATTAACTTTATTTTAAAACTGCTTAGTTAATATGTTTTTTATTACGATGTTATTCTATTCAATTTATTTTATGTTGTATGTTGATTTGATTTTGAAATACAACATTGAAATGAAATGAATAGACATATACCACTGAACAGTAGGTCTTGGGCACTGAACCATTGGTACTAGCACTTGGAAACTCTCAGGGCCTGTTCGAATGAAAAACGCCAACCGTATTCCATTTATTTCACCGGTTAAACAAGCTGAGCACTCAACGGGTGGTCGATTGTTCGAGCGAGTTCCAGCTTACATTAAATACTGTGTAACAAAACTACTCTGGAAGTAAATTCTTTAATTATTCCATGGTCAGCCAATTCTTTCTTTACTTTCTGCTGCTGTTATAACCAGCCCACGTATGTACAAACACAGCACGCGGGAACGATATTTGAGGTCAACAACTTATAAACGCTGTTTTAAAATCTGTACCTAGGCTAGTTTTTAATGTGATGTTATGCTGATGGTTTGACTGTCCAATCCAACTTTGATTTCGTCGTGCATGCGAAGAGGTGAAGGAGAGCTGCAACCAGGCCTGGGCCATAACCTTATTGAATTTTGCGAGCTAGACTCTGGACACAACATTTTGAAAAACAAATAAGGTTGATTTATCGTCGCTCCATGGTCATTCCATACATGGTATTCTACGCAACAATTTGGTGGTCGAAATTTGCAGGCCCTCAAAGGTGACTCTGACTTAATTAGTGTGGTGTTCCCAAAGGATTTTTACCAATTATTTACTCCAGATCCAACTGGTCCTTTAAAACACTGACTTGGCACTGCCATCATGCACTACCCTTTTAGTAAACACAAGAATACATGATTATTTAGTGTTGCAGTGAGCTTTGGTTTTATTCCGGGCACAAGTAAATGCTGGCCTTTCCAATTCTCATTCACTGGCCGTTGCACACTAGCCCTTGAACACTGGTCCTTTAATGCTGGCTCTTGAGGTCAGTCCCATGGTCTATGAGCCACTGGTCATTCACCACCATCTGCAAGCAATTTGTACCATCCCTGGGCACTTCCCTTTTAAAAGTGAACACAAGAGGGAGGTGGCTGGCACAGCGGTCGCTGCTCAGGTTTTCAACCTTGTGGTTGGTAGTTCAAACCTCACGCTCTCTCCAAATCTGGCCAGGCTTAGATACCTCAGCTTGAATTGTGGACGGGCTGTAAAAACGGTTCACACTATATTCCAGCTTTAAATGCAAGTTGGCTACAGCCCATGGCTTTGTTTCGGGCACACAAGGTCAGGTCCATCCTTTGCATGGCCTTGCTATAGGATCCTCTAATAAAGAAATGAAGAACGGTACATGATTATTTAGTGTTATAGTCAACTTTGGTTTTAATCCTGGGACCAGTAAATGTTAGGCTTTCTACCTCTCATTTTTTGGTTCAGGATTATTACTAGGGTTGGCAGGCATTTATATAATAAGGTTGGTTTTAGTTAAACTTTTTCATGTTTAATCTTTCAGGTTTACTACCAAACTTTTTTTACCTACGCCAATGGAGGTTCAATATTCACCTCTCTCTATCTGATCAATCAATCAATAAATTTGATTATGTAGCAAGATTATGCAAACACTATGGAATTGATCATCAATAAAACTTAGTGGAATGGAACATAATAATGTAAGAAAAGAGGTGATTTAATTTTTGGAAGAAAAAATCAGAGGACAAGGTAAAGGTGACAGAAATTCAATTTTCTCATTGTACTTACCCTCAAGCATGAAAGGAAATAATGGAATCACCCATAATCGACCTGTGTACTGTTCGATATTCAGGCACACGGTGGATGTATGCACTCTATCGAGTGCTCTAGTGTATTGTATGAAAGATTCAGCCTCTACAAATATCTTGTCAATTCAACAAAGACAGGAACTTCTTCACTCCAAGGATGTCATATCTGAAGTTGATTTATAGATTTTGACCCAGGCCTAGATGACTTTAAAGTGCATAGGGAGTAGGCATGGCCACCTTTTTTAATAACAATTACCAATTTGTATATAAGGAACCAAACAGAAGAATATGATGGATTAAAGTCTATAACATATGTTTAAATATAAATGTAAATTAATTAAGTCAGGCTCAGGGGTAAACAAAATTTTTATATGTTGTAGGACTGATTTTTCTAGGTGGAAAAAAGTATATCAAGTTTTTCGTCAAATATGTTTTTTGCGTCATAGAAAAATCAGTTCTACAACATATCAAAAATTGTTTCCCTCTGGTGCTGGACTTTTAAGATATACAGTATTGCCGCCCAAAAATTAAGAAAAAGTCTGAAAACTAAATTAAAACATTCGAAAGAATCACTTATATATCAGCTCTGTTTTCAATGATTCAGATATATTTTACTATGAAACTTCATAACTTTACTTGCAGAAATTTAATGATAAAAAACACACACACACACACACAAACCAATCCAAATTCAAACCAATTTCAAATTATTTTTATTTGACAATAAAGCTATCTTGTATCTTGTATATGCAAGAACTTTGATATTTGTTAATTTTGCAATGAAATGGTTTTTTTCCTTCTCACTGTAATTTTGTAGTAAAAAGTTCAGTATCTTAATGAAATATACAAAGTAATCATTTCAATCTTCTTTCGAATAATTTGTCGGTATTTATATAGCACTCTACACACCTAAGTCGAAGAATTTTTCACATTATTACCCATGTTATTGGAAAGATGCCTATATGGAACAAATACTCAGATACCTGAGGAAATATTCCATAATTTGCTGTATGAAATAAATCAGAGCTTTGGCACCAAATCCTCATAGGGACTCGCTTATCCTCCTAGGTGAGAGAGACAACATGGACGAAGCGCTTTGCCCAAGGACACAAGTAGCTTGCACAGCGAAGGTTTTGAACCCCCGACCACAGGGTTGACAGTCCAATCAACAACAATTCCACTAATCACTTCCACACAAATTTAATTCAAGTCTCTTATAATTTATGGCAGTATATCTTTAAGGACATAAAATCAAACAAAATGCCATAAATGTTATATTTGATTGGATAGTAGTAATCATAGCGGTGGATTCAGTGGTGGGGGCCTAGATTTTTCAAAATAAAAAAGAAATGTAGAAAAAAAGAAAGTTATATTCAAGCTTTAACTTTGAGAGGCCATTTCCAGTCATCTAGAGGTGCCATAATCTTAATTTTTCTTACCTCGGCCCCAACCATGGTGGGGCTGAGGTGGTACAGTATACTGTAGACTGTCCATCTGTGAAAGGTCCTCTCTGGCAGGGACGTAGCCAGAATTTTGAAAGGGTGGGAGCCGTTATGCGATGTACCTAGTACCGAGTGGGGGTGGGGTCTAGGGGGAATCACACTCTGAACGTTTTTTAGGACTGCTTTGAGAGGATAAAGTGAAAAAAATAGACACATCATAAATATTAGTAAGGCTAACAATAATAACTGAACAGTGGCAGATTTAGAAATTCGAAGAGGTGACCCAGGGAAGGATTTAACAGAGTGAGAAACCACCCACCTCAGCCCCACCATGGTTGGGGCTGAGGTAAGAAAATTTATGATTAGGGCACCTCTAGATGACTGGAAATTACACTCTCAGACTTACATTTGAATATAATTTTCTTTTTTTCCATTAAAAAAAAAAATTCAGGGATGGGGTTGGGGGGAAGAGAAGGGGTCTTTGAATCCGTCACTGCTCAAAACATCCTTTATCCAAAATACTGTACTCATAATCATGAAAAATGGGCATGAAAAACTGATCACCTCCTAAAAAGAAATTTATGCACCCTCGCCTAGCAGCCACCAAGCTATACTCCGAGTCAGGTGCCGACTCAATGGAGTTTAATGTCATACTCAGGGAAGGGTGAAGATCTATTTTGAAAGGTGGAGGGGACATTTGATGAGGTTGGGGCTGAGGTGCAAAAATTTGAGGAAATAGTACCTCTAGATGGCCAGAAATGACACTTTTAGTAACTTAAAATATCATCACATCACGATTGATATACTTCAAAGCTGGGGCTGAGGTTCGAAAAATTTGAGGAAATACCATCCCAAATCCAGCCTACTGTCGCCAAATGTTAAACTGACTAATTAGCATATTGGAATGTGGCAATATTGCATACTTTAGTACAGAGAAGCTGGAATACTATTACTCATAACTATGGCAATAGGTCAATTCCAGTAAATGACCTTTATAAAAGTCAATTTTCTTCTTTTGGTCACTGATGCTTGTTTTGGCATGGCAAGCCCATATGTAAACAGATGTGTTTGTGGTGCAACATGTCTTGGACAAGCGCATATTCCTGGTCATGCTTTGAGTGGTCAGTTGTCAAAGTTTGGTTGACAATCCAGAAAAAGGTCCTTACTTTGGAAACCTCATCAAAAAATTGTTTTTGCCTATTGAATGACATTTAATTTCAAACAGAGGTAAGCTAGCTGGGAAGGCTGAGTCTGAATCAAAACAATCGGTGTACATGCATGGGTTTATAAATGCAAGCTAAAGCTTTGCTGGATTTTCATTCTCTGATGAAAAAAAAAAATTTAATTTAAAAAATCAATATTGTCAGAACCCTCAATCAGATACAAGATACATTCAGACATCTATTTCATGTACTTTGTTGTAATGACGTATCTTGCAGAGAAATGTAGCATATATTATCATTGCATTTTAATAAATTGTTATAATGTTGTCTAATCTGTAATAAAATTGATATCTTATTTAGACTACATGGTCATATACTTATACAAACTGAAGTAAAAATCATCACTGTCTTAGTTGTACTCTATAATCTCCTATACTGTTTTTTCTTGCCTGTTGGACTGCGGGTGGACTGATGTGTTAAGTGTCAATACCAGTAATCTATAAACATCAAACTTTAAATGTAAATAGTTGACTCTTACCTAATTGTTCTTGCTTGCTTATAGTACCATTTTCAACAGGTTTATCAGTTGGAACTTTGATTTCTGGTATCACCTTCGCTGGTGATCCTTTACCTGGTGATGGGGCTTTTTCTGCAGGTTTTTTATCTACACGTGCAACCGTCTCCTCTTTTTTAACCTGCTGGTGCAGCATCTTTTACACCTGGCGCTGCAGCGTCTTTCGGGCTCACCTTTTCAACCTGTATTGGTTTCTCTTCAGCAGGTGGTGCCGCTTGTTCTTTAGGTGCCGCCGCCTTCTCAACTGGTTTTTCTTCGACAGGTTCTGGTTTTCCTGCGGGTGGCTTTGATTGCTGTTTGGCATCTTTCTTCACTTCAACTGGCTTTTTTTCAACAGATTCTGGTTTACCTGCGGGTGGTTTTGACTGCTGTCTAGCGTCTTTCTTTGCTTCAACTGGTTCTTCTATTATTTTTTCCAGTTTCTCTTCAGGTTTTTTACTGAAAAATATGAAGATAAATATAACAATGACACAGTCAATAAAATTCAAGTCAAAAAATGCACTTTTGTATCACTTCTTTATAACCAGGAGTTGATATTATTAGTATTATTATATATTTATATCACCATCGCCATTATTATTATTATTATTATTATTATTATTATTATTATTATTATTATTACGCCTATTATCATCATTACTACTACTACTAAGTACTAGTAGTAGTAGTGTAGTGTAGTGGTATTATTTAACAAAACTTTGTAAAAAGAAAGAAAACTGAACCATACAATGTCATATTTCTGTATCTTAAAAGACCTGACCTGGGATTTATGGATTTAAGACGAATTTAAGATGATTTTAGATAAATCCAACCCTGAGCTGTAGCCGTTATAAACCCGAACATATTAACTTTTTCGTTATCGTGTATAGTGAAAAATTGATTAATCTAACGAATATTCATTGGGTTGTTATCAAGTTAGACTTTAACTGATAGACGGTTATATTGGGTTTCTATCAGAGCACGAGTACAAACCCTATAGTAGAAGGAGTCAATTAGAAATTGTACAGCATAATCAACTCCAAACTCCCTGTTTTGCTTTAATGTGCTGCAAAAAAGTAACTGTCTTCAGAGTTGACTATAACCATCACATAGCGTAAGACAGCAAAATGATTTATGACATACTGTACCATGTTCAATTTGTATTGTAATTTGCGTAAAAAAAATCACGCTTAGGCCTATGTGTTATAATTATTGTAGGCCTATTAGGCATATGTATAACGTGGGCTGATGTATATTTACATATTTTAGAAGTATTCATTTTGAGTGATCACAATAAAGAGTTTGTATTGGCTAACATGAACAAGCTTTAAAATTTTAACACTGTGTTCAAAGGGGCCCTGAATACGTCCCTGGCTGGTTCTACTTGCATCACGTTATAGATGTCACTAATCCTATCAGTACTACAACTAAAGCCTATATAGCTAGGCCTACTTTACTGCTAATCCGAGGGAGCCTAGCCCAGCGGCAGCGCAGCAGGGGGTAGGCCTACAGCAGTTAGGCCAGCTGGGCCCTAGGCTAGGCCTAGATCGTTGGAAAAGACGACTGAACAAAGACTTTACTAACTTCCATTCCTCAGTATTAAAATCCTTCCATTGCTGAACACTGTCTAAAAATTTCTTCCAGCTTATCTCTGTAACCTTTTCGTCTGCAGTTGGCACAACATTTTAACAGGAGCAATGAGTATCAATGATAGCCGCGGAGGGCGTGAAAAGGTTGTTGTTTGTTGTTACTTTGCAATTCGCAACGTCATCAACGAGTATCCAAGCGCATTCAATCGCGTAACATGATTGGTCTATTTGTAAATATGACGTCATTTTTTTCTAATTTGCATAATTGTTTTTTCCCAACATTTTTGTCCATTTTAAAAGAAGTGCGTAAGTTATGGAGATGGAAACAATCAAAAATCGATTATAAATTTAATTCTACATTTTTAGACAAAAAAACAAACCCTCTTGGCCCACGGCCCATTTTTAACACTCTGACTATGCGTAATATTAACCTGCATAGTATATATACGAAGAATTTTTCTATTAGGATCAGAGTTGACTAACTGGTACTTGGTTTGGTACTAGGTTTATCGCATTTATGGTTTAGGGGCCGCGGTTTACCTCCCTCCGTTTAGTCAGGCTGGATCAGGAGTAGTAAACTCGGCGATCGTGGGTTCGATTCCCACACGGGGCAAGATTTTTTTTATTTATTTTTATTTGTTGATTTTTTTTTTGAAGGTCGTGGGCTCGATTCCCACACGAGCCAAGTTTTTTTTTTATTTTTTTTTTTATTTTTTTTTTTTTTTTAAGGCAACTAATCTGTTTGCATTACGAATTGATTCTCCAAACATACAACGCATTATATTTTTTTTTTTTTTTTAAGCAGTTTATTTGATGGTGGATAATGATT